ATAGGCTTTATTGACCTCATATCCTACAGGGAAAATACAAACTTAATTGCTTTTAAATAGCTTGATTTAGTTTGTTGTTCTCTCTCTTTTGAGAAAGGAGCCAGGACTCCCTGACCTGCCAGCTCTCCCGCACGTGAGCGGATGTACCACGATTTCGGAAGGAAAATGAGAATTAAAGAACAAACCGACAATAACATAAAATGTTTTATTCCCCCCCATCCCAGATGCCAAGTTTTTGGACTTTACAAACAGACCCTGCCACAGCCCCGCTCTGGGGACCGGGGGATGCTCGGGTGCTTTGCTCTGCCATGGAAAAGCAGCATTTGCCAGAGGGAAATGTCCCAGCTGACACCTAGAAACCCCAGATCTGTTCAGGCTGGGCTGAAAATGGGGTGTAAGCCAGAAAATGCTTGAGTTTCATCTTTTTAAACAGATTTTTGTTCTCTTTTTTGGGCAGGAAGCTGAGCTGTAACGGGGCCTCATTTAATTACGGCAGAGGGTTGAGATAATAATGTCATTTTAGGCTGCAGGAGTGCATAGAGGGCTGAGGTAGTTGTGGTGTTTGTAGGCTGAGATGTTTGACATCCTGCTTTTAAAAATGTAACTGGTTTGCTGCTCTAATCAGCAGCTAGAGCTGCCTCTTCAGGGCATGCTTTATTCTCACCAAAACATGGACTGAATTGGATTTTTCTACAAAAGAAGCATCCTAATGATAAACCTCCTATTTTACAGTAAAAAATTTAAAATACTCTCAATGCTGAGGGTTTCTATTGCTTCCTCTTCCTGATATGTGGTTTGGGGGCTGCGGTGTGTGCCACCCTCCTGCCCCTTGTGAGAAGGAAAATAACAACAGGGGTTTCTTTTCAGGATTTGCAGCACCAAATGCCACTTTTTTGGGGTGGGGAGAAACTCTCGCTCACCACCCCATCCCGTTGCAGGTTCCCCGTGCCCCGAGCCAGCCCACGACTGGCAGTGAGAGCAGGAGGTTCGCCAACAAGCACAGCAAGAAGGCGCTGAAGGCCAGCCTGACGCTGGGCATCCTCCTGGGCATGTTCTTCGTGGCTTGGCTCCCCTTCTTCGTCACCAACGTGATTGAGGTAAGCGCGTATGGGGGTTTTATGTCAGGTTTTCAATAGCTTTTCTCTTCCAATCCTGCTGGATTGGATCTCAGATGCTGCAGATCTTGCTGGAAAGCCTCTGGGACCAAAGATGCAACTTCCCTGGGGGGCAACGGCAAGGAAAACCCCTTCAACAGGGTTTTGAAGGGTTCCTTGGAAAGGAAAACATTGCCATGCCTGGGAAATGGGGATGGAGGTGGGAGATGCTGCTAACCCTTGCTGTGTCCCCCAGGCAGTCTGCGACTGTGTCCCGGCCAGCTTCTTCGACGTGCTCACCTGGCTCGGGTACTGCAACAGCACCATGAACCCCATCATCTACCCGCTCTTCATGAGGGACTTCAAGAGGGCCATGGGCAAATACCTGCCCTGCTGCCGGCGCTCAGGGGAGCCCCGGCCCAGCGCCATCTCCCTCTCCATGAGGAACTCCAACAGCGGACCCCGCGCCGCCACATCCCTCAAGAACGTCCTCACCTTGCAGGCCGAGACCGACTCGGTGGAGTCCGGGGTGCTGGGGAATGAACACCTCCTGCTGCCGCCCATCGATGGCCCCCGGCCTCTCCTGGCCCCTGGTGTCCATTTGGTCAACTTTTTTGAATTGGAGCCCCCGGAGCTGCAGCCTAAGCAGCTTGGCACCCCCATGGCCTAAGCATGGGTGTCCCAGTGGGGGGTTCCGGACTGTGATGTGCTGGGAAGGATCCCCCAGCGCAATGCAAACTCTCTGGAGGGCCGATTCACTGCAGGACATCTCCCTGCCTACATGTTGCTGCTCGATACCCTTCTCGAATGCAACGTGCGTCTCTGTGGAGAAGCCATCATCACCGAGCACTTCCACGGGTAGGTGTGAACAGCGCAAAGCCACGTCTTACTGCCAAATTTATCTGCCTTGTTCCTCTCTCTTGCCATCCCTCCTTCACCCACCATCACCAACCCTTCACCCTTCTCTGAGAGCTGCTTTTCGTGGCCTTTCCACCTCTGGTCAGTCTGAACCTCAGACTCCAGACCCTCCCGCCAGCCTGTGTCTCCCTAAACTTAAAGCAAGGCTTGGTTTTCAGCTTCCACTTGCACAGCTCAGCAGATCACCTCTGTCTCACCGAGGGAAACGGTGGAAACTACAGCCTGTGACTCAGAGGTTTGGGGCTGCATCAGTCCCCAGAACATCGCGTCTTCGTGGAGTTGAATCTCCTCGCCTCATTTGGTTTGTATCTGTCTCGGTTTCCTGCGAAAGCAGGGAGTTGCAACACAGCAAAACCGCCGTGTTTAATCATGAACAGCCTGTGCTACGGGGGATTAAATTTGATGCAAAATGTTCAACACGGCTTTCTGGCTACTCAGCGAGGGTGTGGGTGTTCGGCTTGTTTGTGGCTCTGTGGGTTTCCTGACAGTAGTAAGGAATGAGATGAGCTTCCCTTTAGACTTCATCCTACGGCTTCCTATTTTTGGCATATGACCATCATACCTTGCTCTGACAATCCATCAGTTTTCAGATGATGTAATTAGAAAATATACATTTTCCCCCTCACCTTCAAATAAGAGTCTAAATAAATATTGTCTTTTAAATGACAATACCACCTCCCAACCTTCCTTATAGCCATAAGCAGAGAGAATAGTGAGTAATATAGTAAGTGGGCACTTAAAAAAATACAAAACAACAAATACTTTAACAAATTCTTCCTCAAGTGCCTTTCTGACAAAAAGATGGGTTGGTGGTTGGTTGCTGTGCCCTCTCTGGACTCGTAGCCTACAAACCTTGCTGCGTATTTCCGAGCTTCTGCTAACAAGTTTGACTGAGAACTGAAACTGATGATTATCCAAACGAGAACAAAGCATCCCCAGGATACGGGATGCTGGAAAAAGCAGCCACACACCAAGCAAGTCTCATCACTTTTCTTTTCACATTGCCCACATGTTTTCCCGAACTGAACAACAAGTGTTTTTATGAGAAACTTGACATTTAATTGCTACAGATCCCCTTGGAACCGACGGCTGGCCCAGTGGTCAGTGATAAATGGCTGTGACAAACGGAGGACTGAGCACAGGTTCAACCATCAAACCATCTGATAGGTTTTTGCCACATGTATGTGGACAGATAGCTCAGGTTTGGTATCAAGCATGACAATAAATATGTCCATCTATCCACAAATGGCTTTATGGAAAAACATACTTTGGCTACAACTCCAGTTAAAAAGTAGAAAAATACACAATGAACCTTGAAAGTCCATGAGGTGACCAAGTCAGCAGCACAGGCTTCAGGAGATGGACAAAGAGAGGCTGCTGCTTCAAGCCAAATGTTCAAAAGCAATAATACCTTACTCTCTCATCAAGCCATTTTTTTGTAATAAGGTGTTTGCTTGCGGACAAATCCTCGGTGGAGAAATCGTATCCCTGCAGTGAGGCACCGCTCCAAAATCAGAGCTGAGCAGGTCGGTGCTCCCCTCACAGTAGGAAATTGGGCAGGGGAAAAGCTGGGCACTGTACCCAAAGCTGCCAGTCCCAGAAACAGCTACATTTTTTACTTTGTGAGAAATGATCTAGAGGTGAGGTTGGCAGAAAGCTGGGGAAAGAAAGGAGAGGTGGTTATTGAACTGGCTGCTGGGATGGGGAGGGAGGAGGACGACTCTGTGAACCGAAATCGGAAGCTGCCATTGCAGCATCTCCCTTCTTGCAAATCAACAAGACCTTCCAGCTAGGGATGTGGGAAGGTTTTATACCACCCGGCACGTGTTTTAAAACAGAAAAGCACAGAGGTGTTGTCAGAAGGGCGTTTCTCCTCCTGCCATGTTCCTGCTAGATGCATTTTCTTGGTCTGAGCAGCAAAATAGGCCAGAAAAGGACCTTTTATGGAAGATGTAGATCAGTCCCATATGGTTTTGGAAGACTCTGCATGGCAGGGGATGTCAAGCAGGGTCCCTTCCTCTGGTTTGAGACAGAGAGAAGAGAGTGGATGCCAACTTGCTTTTATGGAAGGAGGTAGAAACCAAACAGATCCGTGTTTATCCTAGGCCAAGTACTGGTTTTATTCTAAGCCAATTAAAAACATGTCTAGAGGGGGCTTTTAAGGCTGGAGATACATGTGAGACACAGAACGAAAGTCTCTGTGGGTTGCTGGCTTGCAAAGCCTGGATGGAAGTGTCACAAAGTAATAAATCATAAAGTAGCCCACTCTGTTTCTTCTGCTGTCTTTCACCTAGTGACTCAAAGCATGTTTCTAGTAGTAACGAGGCCTCGAACATTCACCGCCCTCAGCTTGCAGATAGGGAAACAGTCTTGGTGGCTGGAAAGTGCCCAAGCCCTGGCAGCGATCTGGCAGCAGACGGGGGAAGGAAGCCAGGTAGCCCGAGCCTTTCGCCTCCTCGGTTGGCAGAGCCAAAACGCAGATGCTGAGATGTACAGAGCTGGGCAGCCGGAGCCCGCGCACACCTGCACACATGGAAACCAAAAACCAAATCGACCACTGGTGGAAAACTGGTTTTAATTCCTTAGTGACAAGCCCTCTCCATGATACACTTAAAAATACCCACAGAGCCACCTGCTTTCCCAAGAGTTAGACAGCAGAGACACAGTCCCTGATGGTGACAGCTGCTTCCCTCAGGAACAAACCCAGTCTGTGCAAGGAGGGAAGTGCCGCCGCTTCCTGAGGAGCAGTGCTGATTCAGGCAGGAATCAGCTCGTTCTCATTCGTGGGAGATACCGTGGGTGGCTGCTCCATAAGCTTTGATCCAGTGACACACCGGTGCCATGCTCTGGGCTCTCAGGAGGGTCTGAAAACTGCAGCTTCAGCTTTGCCGGCTCTACCAATGCTCCTCTGGGCAGCCCAGTGCAACAGACGGTGCTTTGGAAGCGGTTTTAGTGCTGGCTGAGCATCTCTGCCCAACACCAAGAGCTCTAATTTGGTCCTTCACTCGCTGCCTGTGTCCTGCTGTCCCCGCTGTGTGAACAGTCTGAGCAGGGGAGTGAGGTTTCTCCCAAAAGACAGCCGGGAGAATCACAGAGGTGAGCACGGCTGGATGGGAGAGCTTCACCATCAGCCACATCCTCCTCTTGCGTGGTGTTTTCCTCTTCCCGAGTCTCGCTGCCTGCTGCCCGCTCTGATTTCTTGGCTAGAGGGCAGAAAAGGCTGCTGCTGCCCTTCTCTTCCAGCCGACACTCCTTGGTTTTAATGCCCACAGCTTTTAGGATCGTGTCCATTTGCTTCATGTAGTCCAGGTGGCCGTTTACCTGTAACAACAACAGAGTCCTGTTAGTGGGGAAGCTGCGGGAACCCAGCTCAAATCTTTCATCTCAAAAGCCACCACTGCTGTGAAAGTTGGTTTTAGCTCTGAAAAGCTGAAAGAATGAGGTCTAAAAAAAGGCAGTCATCCATTGAATAACCCCATCTGACTGCACCTTTCATGGCATACGCTGCTGCTGGTTTGCTTTTCCTCTGACAGATGTGTTCAAATGCTTGGGCATTGCTGAGTTACAAAGCCCCAGATCCTGGGTGCCGTGAGGAGGTGATCTGCCACGGTGAGAGCCGCCCAGGTAGGAGACAAGTTGTCTTAGTTCAACTCCCTGTTGTCTGCTAAATCACATGTCCTCCCTGTGCCTTAGCTCCCTTGTAAAAGCAAAGATTACCTTATTTAAATTGGGAAATAGTCATTAAATCTCACAACAGCTACCAAGGGTATTAAGGTTCTTGGCTGGAAGGTGCACTGATCTGTCCCATACCATATAAAACTGGGAGCCTGAGTTATGAGTTCATAAACCAAATGAAAGTCAGCAATACATGCAAAACCTCACATATTTTTATTGTAAGGTGATTTCCGTGATTAAAAAAACCCTTCTGAGATCGATGTTGGAACGCACCCTTCCAGTCAGGGCACAGGAGGGAGAGCAAACCTCCTCTGCAGGTTCTTCTTGTCATATGCTACAGGTTACCTGGCTGGAAAGGCAGAAACTGCCTTCTCTGTTCAGGTGTCCTGTGCAAACCGAGCGTTTGAAGTAACGACGGCCAAGATCCTACTCAATACAAGACGGTCAGGGCGTTTTGCAGAGCCCCAGCCGTGGGTGCTCTGCTCACCTCCCTGCTAGCTCGGTCTGGGCTGTCCTTACTCACCACACCAGCAGCCCAGTCACCAGCACACCTCTACCCAAACCTAAAGCAAGCTTCCTTCCCTGCACGGCCAAAATTCAAACCTCCGAGCTGTTTGCGTGAAGCAGCTTTAGAGTGGCAACATTTGGATGCACTTAGGACTTGGAGCAAAATGAGGGATTTAATCAGCACGTTAGTAATGCAATATGCAACTTTAATCAGTCCAGATGGCTCAACAGGCTCTTGATGTTTTGAACAGATTAGTTAATTAAAATAAAATACCCATTGAAGGACTAATGGACTGGCTCTTAAGATGTGTACATTGTTCTCCGAAAAAAGTATGAACCTTTTACTACTCAGCAGGGGGGCTTGGAGCTAAAGAAAGAAATGGGCAAAGTGTTGGGCCAAGCGGAGAGAAACCAGAAGGGAATGGACTTACTGGGAGGGGTTGCTGAAGTCTCTTGGTTTGCTGTGTTCTGAAACCTCTGCAGTCATCACAGTGTCCCTGCCCTGGTCTGCACTTGGGGATTTCTCTGCCTGTTGTGTTACCTCGTCAGAGACAGCAAACTTCCTCTGCCACCCTAAGGACTAGATTTTCATAACTCTTCTATATCCAGCACCGTCCAATAAACCAATGGGGAATTCCTCTTCCCTGAGCACCACGAGCACCAAGAGCCGCTGGGTCTGAGCAGTTCAGAACAGCCGAGCCTTTCCTCATGCGGCTTAAAGAGAAGCTGAGACCTCCTCAAAGTCCGTCCCTTACTGCAGGTCTGCTAACACCACTGAATCTCTCCAAAATAAACTCACTTCTGTTTCCAGGACAGCCCAGGAGAGGATTCCATAAAGCCAGGCCAATGCAAGCCCTGAGAAGCATAAGAGGAGGTAGGGCTGTTTCTCTGCTACACTGTGACAGAAAGTACTGAGCCATCAGCAAAAGAACAGTGAGCAAATTGCCTTGCCATCACATTTAGAGCTGTGATGCCATCCTGGTGGGAAAATTTGGCAATTCCATTTCTCAAAAGCCTGTTTTCATCTGCAATCTGAAAAGTTGAATTCCTCCGCCGGGTGGGTTGTGCTGGAGATGGGATGGGAACATCTAAAACATTGTAAGGGACAATAAAAACTTTAAAGGGAAATAAACAATTGTTTGAATATCTGTCAGAACAAAGTGCAGGAGGCATTTCAAAATAAACGGAATTGAGAAGTCTTGTAACCAAAGCAAATATATTTATGTTTGTCATAAGGAAGTGAAAACAGTGGGGTAGGTTTATCAGTGTGCTTAGTTGACTTCTCCCCTGTTATATCTGATTTTATGATTACTTTGACTCATTGGAAAACACAAGTCAGCTGCCTGTATCACTGACTGCTGCAGGACCACAGCACCACACGGAAAGATCTTCAAAGGAGGACAGATGATAGCGTGGTTCAGGTGGCTCCATCAGTCAGCTGAAAGGCACCATCAGTTCAGAACGTTGAGAAAGGTTTTCAAGCTCAAATCCACCCAAAAGTGTCAAAAATGTCACTGAGTATAATCAGCTGCATCTATTAAATTCAAACAGAAGTCTTTTTGTTTCAGTACGATAAGCGCCTCTGGTTATGGTGTCATAAAAACACAGTTCAATTTACGGGAGCTTTGAAAACAAACAACGCCAGCCCTGGGCCTGCAGCCAGCCCACCGGTGATGGCTGCACCTCGGCGAGCTGCGAGCTCTGCAGCACGGATGCTGCTCTCCCTATTAATGACGGCAGCTGGAGGTGCAGAAGGACAGGGGGCAGAGCTCAGCGTGTCCAAGAAGAGATGATAATGGAATCGATTTGCAGTTACCACGCAGCAATCTCCATTAGCCATAAGCTGGGGCAATCTCCATGGCTCCACTCAATTGCCTTGGCAGTTGGTGTTCCCCAGCACAGCAAAAGAACAGATAAAGCCCCAACACAGGATCCAGCCATGAAGAGCAGCTCTTGACAGAGGAAGAATCCCAGCTTCTCTCAGGTTTTGATCTGTGGGAACCCCTGAGGGGCTTGGGGAGCCTGGCAAGGGGTGGACAGAGAAAGGACCTAGGAGAAAGGCGATGCTCCGTACAATCCTGGCATGAGCACAGGCAAGACTCTCACTCTGTCACAACGCTGGGTATCACAGTGACCTTACCCTGCCTGATATGGCAGAAGGAGTCTTTGCTCACTCCCAAGCCAACTCTTTCAAGATCCTGTCCTGTTTCCTTCAAAAAAACCTCCTCTACCAATCCCAAGTGGCCAGAGCAAAGAGCACACACTGGCTCCGAAGCCCAGCACAGCTTGTAAAGCTCTTCGCTTTGCAGGGCTGCATCATTTGCAAGGGCTCACCTGGAAATCCCTTGGCCTCTCTGCTGCAGGGAGAGAGAATCACAGAATCACAGAATATTAGGAGTCGGAAGGGACCTCAAAAGATCATCCAGTCCAACCGCCCTGCCAGAGCAGGATCACCCAGACCAGGTCACACAGAAAGCACAGAGCAGCTGGGCTCTGCCTTCCTCCTGCTCCTCTGGACCAAACATCCCATGGATTCACAGAGAGTTACAGAGGAGCAGTGTGAGCAGAGGATTCACAGGTCCTCTGCAAGTCACAGCAGCACAGGGCATTAATACGGCTGAGAATTTCACCTCTTTGATTTGTTTTGAGCAGGTGACATCCAAAAAGCAACTCTACTGTGCATGAAAAAGATAGCCTTGAGTTAAAACATCTCTCCAGAGCTTCGTTAAAAGCAGGAGCAGTAATGACTATCTTGGAGGGCATCACAGTTTCAGGGTTTCCTTTTCTCAGACAATATCTGTTTTAATAGAAAACGGCATTTCACGTGGGGTGAAAAGAGTTAATAGAGCGAGTTGCAGTTTCTGAAGCTCACATAATCGTCACACCCCACTTTTCAGCAGCCCTTTCTTCCCACTGGTGTGGCAGACACTGTGTGTACACACGTAATGAAATGCAAACTGCCTCCGGGTGCCATATCTCAACAGAGCCCGCTCAGCAACTTTTGTTATTGCCAGGTCAGCGCTTGGGTTTGCTCTCCCGTTTCCAAAAGTGGCAGGGAATTTGTCATTCGGGAATAGAACCAGAGCACAACCCTGCGCTCTGAAATGAACTGCCAGCCAGTTTGGGGGTAGCAGTGTTAAAAAAAAGGGAAGAAACTCAATTTGCTTTCCAAAAATCCTCAGTTCTGGATACTCGTGCAGCCCTCCTCTTCCAGATGGTGGCAAAGACTGATTGATTGCAGGACTCCCAAGCTATGCCAGGTTATAGCTCAAAACGCAGTGGTCTCTGCCAAGCTGGCGGGCTCCTCCGGTCAGAGTTATTCCCAAATATTGGTGTAAGCCTTCATTCAGAGTGCTGGGTACATTTTGCTTGATAGAGGGCATTCAGCCTGGCAAAAAATGTCCTTTCTGTTCTTCACCATTGTCTTGAAAGCTTACGGCAAAGTCCTAACGCTGCCCAGGGAGGGGAACATGGCAAAGGTCGGTGGCAGAGCAGATTCCCATAGTAAGAACCAGCAGAACATTAAACAAACCTCGACGGAGGCTGAATTAAGTTAAAATAGAAATAACATTTGCTGTTTTCCAAAAGTGAGGCCACTGAACCTGTCCACTAATTCAGAAGCTAAAATGTAAGTGGATTTATTAAGAAAAGTGAATTTGGCATCCTCCCTCGCACTGCAGGTATATCCTGAGCATTAGCGGTCCTGGCTTCCAGCAGAGGAGAAGCTAAAAAAAATGTACTTGAGGAAAACTTTATAGAGCTGAGTTTATTTTGAAAATACTGTCAATGCCAATTGCATTATTCCTCTTTTATGTTTCTATTTCTGCTCTGAAAAACTGATGGAATAAAGATTGGAGCATGATCCAGCTGAAGCTAATAGGCTTTGCTTCTAAATCATCCCTTCGCCCGATTACAACTCTTGGAGATAGAATAAGTCACTCTTAAATTCTTAGTTTTCTTCTCGTTTAAAAACTAACTTGACCGGTAAGAGTTCTCCTTTAATCACAGCAGCATTTCCCGAGCAAGACTGTAATTTTCACATGCCTTCAGCAACAACTCCTTGATCAAGTCATTCTCACCTCTGGGACAATAACTGAGGGACGTTACCCTCAGATGGCACTCGGGCCAGTTTCACACCA